CCTGTTACTGCACTATTACACCATCCACCACTACTGCTATAAGACAAAGAAATATGTATTTATAAAACACAATGCGTGCACAAAGTGTTTGCTACACAGCTACTACCAGAAATACAGCCACTACTATTACTACTTTTACTACTACTAATAATGAGAGGTGTGGCTGAATAAGAAAGGTTTGATTGGATCCAAAGCAAACAGACCACTACTCTATAGAATTAGTTATACTACTACTACTACTACTGTTAATTAGAAAGAGAGGTGAGGCTGCAGGTTGATGTAAACATGTTATTGAGACTAAAACTACTACTACTACTTCACTACAACTACACCAGCCACCACCACTGCTGTTACTAAGGCCAAGGAAATATATTTATAAAGCACAATGCATGTACTTGAGAGGTGAGGCTGCATCGTAAAGTATTATTGGATCCAAAGCAGACCATTACACCACAAAATTTGCTACTACTACTATTACTACTACTACTACTACTATTACTACTACTGCTACTACTATTACTACTACTACTACTGTTAATTAGAACGTCTCATTAAGCCATGACATTAGTGGATAATCCATGTGTCATTCGTTCATTTGTTTTTCAATATAAAACCAAAAATAAGAAAATGAAAAAAAAAAAAAAACTGTTTTCTTCATTATTTGTCTCCAAAACCAAAATGAAGACTTTCGTTTTTTCAGTTTTTGATTTTATGTTTAAATGACTGTGATGTCGGATTTTGCACTGCATACGGACTGAACCAGGACTGATCCAGATCAGAGACCAGACCAACAGACATTCACACTAATGAAAACTAACCGAACTAAGAGCTTTTGGGTCGAATGGACCATTTGGTGGGCATCAAATACTGTCTGTGTGAAAGCACCCTGAGACCAGGACCAAACCGAGACCGAGACCGAGACCAGACCGGGACTAAACTGGGACCAGACCAGAGGCTCAGAGCCCACGGCAGGGCCTGTTTTGGGTTGAACGTCCGTCAACTTTCCCCTAAAGACCCAAAGGTGAATTTAAAACTGTTTTGCTGAAATACACTAGTATTTTGTAATTTTGTTTCTAACTTTTCCTTTGTGTTTGCAGGTTTGGATGGTGTTCTTTAACTCTTCTACAGGTGTCACTTTTATTATCATTATTATTATTATCATTGTTAAATAGTTCATAGTTAATTTAAGCTAAATCTACTTCGTGTCTTGCAACTGTGAGACATGAAAATCATCTGCGACAACTGTAGCAGATGTTAGTTTATTTTATTTGAAAACAGCTAAAGCTAAAACATGTCTGCCATATGTTACTGACTAACCCTGGAGTTTTCAGGTTTTAGGTTGGTGTCTGACCCTTTTACAGCAGCTCTGTGATATCTACTACTGCTATAGAAGCTAAAGAGTGCTTCTGACCAGTGAAAAATGAACCTTTGCCTCCATCTAACATTAAGAAGGACCCAAGAACTAAGAAGAAGAATAGAAAATCTTTTATCAGAGGCTCTGCTCCAAAATATGGACTGAATGAAAGAACTGATCCAGAGCACCTTGCTGGAAGAGTTTACCTAAACTCTGTTTTGGGTTGGGTTGGGTTGGGCTTCAGTCAACTTTCCCCCAAAGACCCAAAGGTGAATTTAAAACTGTTTTGCTGAAATACACTAGTATTTTGTAATTTTGTTTTTAACTTTTCCTTTGTGTTTGCAGGTTTGGATGGTGTTCTTTAACCCTTCCTCAGGTATCAGTTTATTATTATCATTGTTAAATAGTTCATAGTCAATCTAAGCTACTTGTAAATTTACTTCGTGTCTTGCAAATGTGAGACATGAAAATCATCTGCGACAGTCGCAGATGTTAGTTTATTTTATTTGAAAACAGCTAAAGCTAAAACATGTCTGCCATATGTTACTGACTAACCCTTGAGTTTTCAGGTTGGAGAAACCCACATCATTTTAAAACCTGATCATTTGGAATAATTTTAAGGTACAGTATATTTTAGTAGGGAATTTCTGAGGGAAATTCTCCCTCTGGTGATGATGAATGGGTCAAATGCAAAGTGCTGCTGGGGCAGCCTGTCAGGAGCAGTGAGCTGCTGCCGTACACCTGTGCAGGTTCTGCACACAAAGGAACCTTCTTGCTGTGAGTGAGTGCTCAGCCACTCATCTTGACTTGAGTTTTGGTCCAAGGGTTGAGGCCCTTGTGTTCTGTCACTTTTTTGGGGTCTGAATATAATAGTTCTGACCCTTTGACCTTGGGTTTGTGACCCACATAATCTTACAGGATCTTTCACTGGATTCATTGGTCTGTTCATGCAGACTCAGGTAGGTGACTTTAACTCAGGTAGGTGACATTTCTGTGTGAATCATCTCAAAACAAGACCTGAATATGCTGAGGATTTTATGTTACAGGCTCTAGTTTTGGGCCTAAACTGGTCCAAAAGTGGGCCATATTCTAAACGTTGGCTCACTTTTCTGGAGACTGCTGGTCTCTCTTGGTCTTATCTGGTCTAAATGTGGAGTGGGCCACATTAATTGTTTACACCATAATTTCCACAGGTTGTGTTTGGGCTTGGGCCCTTGTGTGTTTTTGGTGTGTGACCCGACTGGTCACACAGGCTGGTAAAACATGTTATGGTTGGGTGTAACTGATATTACTTATTGTAAACTAACCCTTCAACAGTTTCATTTGGAGTTAAAAAGGTCTGAAAACTGACTTGATCTTTGGGTTGTGTGTATGTTTTATATTTGGTTTGGTCTGAACTGGTCTAAACGTGGGCCAGATTTGGACTGCTTTCTAGAGTCTGATGGCTCTGGTCCTAACCCTGACACTAAACTGAAAGTCTAGTAGTCGTGTCCTAATCCAACTCTTCCACAGGTTTGCACAGGGTCTGTTCGTTTGAAATACGTTGACATTTCTGTTTAAACATTGTCTTTACAGGGTTAAAGGTTAAATGTCATATTAATATTTCCATGTGCATGTTGTAAAATTGTTGGTGCTTGTCTTGTGAAATGACAGTTCTAACCCTAACTCTTCTGACTCTTCTCATTGCAGAAAACTAAACTGTCTAAACTGTTTTACTAAACTTTTAAACGAGTCTTTACAGGTCCAGAGGCTGCTGCTGTTTACTGTGAGTATGTCTGCACACACTTAATAACACACTAACACACTAACTCTGTACAAACACGGGCGGTGGGTTAATCCAGCCACAGAGGGCGCTGTGTGTGTCCCTCTGTGCCAGTCCCCAGCCTGGATAAATGGAGAGGGTTGCTTTGGCGTAAAACCTGCCTCTTTTAGCCCGATCTTAAAGTGTGTATGGTGGCTTTTTCTAATTATTATTACTTGGTTTGGTGATATTTACTTGTGGTGAATATTTATCATAGTTTTACATTGGTTTTGCACTTTAATATATCGAGTGTACCAACTTAAATCTGTCTTTTATCTTGTAGCTTTAAAGTTATATTTATAGGTTTGATTCAGTCAGTCATTACCAAAATGCCTCCTGCTGCTAGAATAAAAAGTACATCTGTAAACTATTCTGTAAATCACACACACCACTGTCATACTAGGCAATGTGGGTGAAGTATCTTGCCTAAGGACAGAACAACAGTTTTTGCGACTGGCGCCCCCTTGTGGCCCCTGGTGTTCCCAGTGGTCTCCCATCACAGTACTGACCAGGCCCTGCCCTGTTTAACTTATGAAATCTGGCAAGCTCAGAATTTGACAAAGACGTTTGGCCACAAGTGATCCAATAATACAACTACTAACACCTGAGAGAGGAGACTGAATACAAGCGCCATAAAAAATGAAAAGGGTGACTACTCTGGCTATTAGTGTTATTTATGAAAGGTGAGGCTGCACGTTCATGTACTTACTACTACTACTACACTGCTGCTGCTACTACTACTGCTACTACTGCTACTACTACTACTACTACTACTACTACTACTACTGCTACTACTGCTACTACTACTACTACTACTACTACTACTACTACTACTACTACTACTACTACTACGCTGCTGTTGCTACTACACTTTTACTACTTACTACTACTACTACTACTGCTTACTACTACTACTGCTACTACTACTACTACTACTACTACTACTACTACTACTACTACTGCTACACTGCTACTACTACTACTACTACTACTACTACTACTACTACTACGCTGCTGTTGCTACTACACTTTTACTACTTACTACTACTACTACTGCTTATGCTGCTACACTGCTACTACTACTACTACTACTACTACTACTACTACTACTACTACTACTACTGCTACACTGCTACTACTACGACTGCTACTACTACTACTACTACTCTGCTGTTGCTACTACACTTTTACTACTACTACTACTTACTACTACTTACTACTACTACTACTGCTACTACTACTACTACACTACTATTACTACTACACTACTACTATAAAGCATAACTCATGAGCAAGCAACCCAAAGTGTTTGCTTTACTACTACTACAATACTACACTACTACTACAACTATACTGCAACTACTACTACTACAACTACACTTTTACTGTTACTAATACTACTATTGCTACTACTATACTGCAACTACTACTACTACTACGACACTTTTACTACTATTTTTACTACTAGTACTACTACTACTACTGCTACACTGCTACTACACTACTACTATAAAGCATAACGCATGAGCAAGCAACCCAAAGTGTTTGCTTTGCTACTACACTACACTACTACTACTACTATACTGCAACTACTATTACTACTACTACTACTACAACTACAACTACTACACTGGTACTACTACTACTACTACTACTACTACTACTACTACTACTTAGGAAGATATAATTGGATCCAAAGCAGACAGAACACTAAACTGCAGAATTAGCCACTACTACTACTCCTACTGGCTATAACCACTACTACTAGGCTTACTACTATTACTACTATTAGTACTACTACCAGTACTACTACCTGTACTACAGAATGAGAGTCGAGGCTGTGGGTTGATGTAGACAGTGTTTTATTGGATCCAGAGCAGGCAGGACTAGCCCGGCTGTTGCACTACATTTTGGCACAGGTTATTTTTAAATAGTGACCAGCAGCAGACCCTAGACGCCCATGGGTGCACAAAAGCATCACTAACACCAAAAAAATCTTACCTAAAACTTCCAAATGGTATTTTTTACAGCTCTCCACTTCATTCTGTATGTTTCCGAGTTTATTTTCGTATCACAAAAGAGGAAGAAATAAGCTGTATGGATGTTGTCATATGAGAGGTAATACAGTATTTTCAGACAATTAATTTCACCTGGCTGTAACAGAGAGTATAGTTATAGTATATTACACAAAGATGTCCCCCAGATACACTTTACAATATAATAATAATAATAATAATATAAAAGAAAAAAGTTGTAAAAGAAATAAAAGCGTTGAAAGTTCATTGAAAAAAGCAGTGTCGTTTGGCTGATGGAAATATAGGACAATGGGGACTGCATTAAAACACTGTGGTAACTATAGAGAGATGCACAAATACACAGAGGCTATGTTCAAACTGCAACGAATAAAGTAAAAAAAAAAAAAAAAAAAGATACAACAAATAAAAATCTGTTTTGAATTTGAAAAAAAAAAAAGGCAGTGAAATGTTTGGAGCTAATTTACAGAATTTTGCACAATCTGGAAACGCGACATTTTTTACATGTTTATGTTTTGATGTTTCATGGTGAATTTCTGGAAATACCTAATAATTTTTACAGTAATTTAGCAATTTTAATTTATATTTAAGGTGCATTGCCTATTATATAATCTTTGCTAGTAGGAGTGAAGTTGTATTATACTACAACTACGGTATTCTAAAAGGGACAAACAAAAAAACAAACAAACAAAAAAATTGCAAGTGCATATTTTGTGTAATTTTACATTTGAACCCCAAATCTAAGCAATTATTAATATTTTGAGCAAATTACGGGGTGGAAAAACACTCCAAATATATAAATATAACTCCAAATGTCCCTTTAGGGCTTCCATAAATTTGAATCCTTGAATCTGTTTTGAATTTGAAACAAAAAAGGCAGTGAAATGCTGGTAGCTACAATAAACAGAATTTTACACAATCTGACAACACAAAATTTTGCATGTTTTCACAGTAATTTCACAGTTTTAACTTAAGAGTTTTCAAATTTATGGAATTATTTGTGTTTTTATGAAAATTTTGGAGTGGAAAAACAGAAAGAAAACGTCTATAAGGCCAAATGTCCCTGTAGGGCTACCGTAGTTTGAATCCTTTACAATAAAAATCTGTTTTGAATTTGATACAAAAAATCTGGCAACACAAAATTTTCTGTGTTTTTCAGTAATTTCACAGTTTTCACTTAATAGTTTTCAAATTTAAGCAATTATTTGTATTTTTATGTAAATTATGGGCTGGAAAAATAGAAAGAAAACATCTATAACTACAAATGTCCCTGTAGGCTGGGCTACCATAGATTTGAATTATTTACATTTGAATTTGAAACAGAAAAGTAAAAAAGGCAGTGAAATATTGATAGCTATAATTAACAGAATTTTATGCAATGCAATCTGGCAACACAAAATATTACGCATTTATGTCTATGTTACTAGATACGTCATGATAAAATTCTAATAATCACAGTTGCAATAATATTTTTCAATAATGTTGCTATTTTAACTTAAAAGTTTTCAAATTTAAGGATTAATTTGTGTTTTTAGGTAAATAATGGAGTGGAAAAACAGAAAGAAAACATCTATAACTCCAAATGTCCCTGTAGGGCTACCATAGATTTGAATCGTTTACAATTTGAAACCGCAAACAAACAAACAAACCAAAAATGCTGTGAAATATTCGTAGTGACAATTAACAGAACTTTTCTCATGTACTGTACAAATAGTGAATAGTGAATCATATGGACATAACAAAAACGTGTTGCCAGATTATAGTAAATTACAGTAATTTCATAAAATAAAATTTTAAAAAAAAGAGTAAATTTTAGTGTTAAGATAATTCATGGTAAAATTCTTAAAACTGTTCTGGTAACTAGTTGCTGTAATACTTTCAATAATTTTACATTTAGTTTTCACTTTATACATTTGAATTTAAAGTAAGATTATAAAGTTTAAGATTATCCAGTACTTATGCTTGTAGTTGCATTAATACTACAACTACAGCACTCCAAAGGGGACAAACTTAAAGCAAATAGAAAAAGCTTAAATTATTAAATTGATGTGTTTGAATATAACTACAGTTGAACCTCAAATCAAAGCAATTATTTTTGTGTTTTTGAACAAGTTATGGAGTGAAAAAGAAAGAAAAGATTGTTGTGGTGTTTTGTAACTTCACATGTCCCTGCAGGGCTTCCGTATATTTGAATCCTTTACGAAGACATACACATAGTGGCTACAAATGTTAATAAACAAATTCAACTCACCAGCAACACAATTAAAAGGCAGTTCAGAAGCTCAAATCTTACATCATTCTAATTGTAGCTTTAAAAAAATAGAAAAATTATGAATTAAACTGAAAAATTCACATGTTGCTTTGAAATTTTGGAGTGCAAATTGCCCGTTAGAAATTGAAGTTTGAACATAGCCTGGAAGTGACACAAATAGGCCTATTACATACAGTATCATGCATTCACTCACAAAAATATACATTCACGTCAATAAAATAAAAATATAAAAAAAACCCAAAACAAAATATTTAGACTTTAAGCAGATGACTGAGCGAGCTAGGCTTTTTCATTGCAACCCAGGCTTCCTGTAACACTCTGCTCCGTGTAATTAGTTCAATAGCCTGTAAAGCTTAACATTCACTTTGTACGCACGTTTAAAACATGAACCAGGGGCGCGCTGGAGTAAAGCAACACCGCCACCCAGAGGCCAAACGCAAGAACTACACCAAGCTGAGGGATAAAAGCTTTAAATGGGGGGATTTTCAGTGTAATAAATTAATAATAAACATGTAATATCTTTATTTACACGAGTGGGAAGTTGGATTTGCAGAGAGAAAGACAACCAGACAACAGTATTCATGCTCTTTTTTATCTCAACTTCCACCTCACTGGCAGAATTTTGCATATATTTTAACGATTTAAAAGACATAAGATTTAGTTTTTAATGAATAATTTCTATAGCAACAGTGCAAATTTTTCATAATTTTGAAATCCATGGACAGGACTCAAGATTGCATCACACGAGATCCTATAGTTTAACTTTGAGCGAAATGTTATGGTAGAATTTGCCTTTAAATTGCAATTCTGTACATTTTTGATGAGTTATATGCATAATATCTCTGTAATTAGTGGGCCTATAAAACAAAAAGCTGGTTTAAAGTTCATTTTCCTTCTCTATTGGGAAATATTTACAAAGATAAAACATTCTTATATTCTTAAAATTCTTATAACATATATATATATTTTTTTTCATTAAACTGTCAAAACATAGTATGACATGAACTCATTTCCTTTTCAGAATGTATGAGGAGGGGGTTAACATTTATACTTTTCCAATGTTATGGAATATAGTAAGTTGATTTCTTATTATATGAAATGTGTTTGACTCTTGTGAGATTTAAGTCATGTTATAATGTTGTTACCTCAAAAACATACCTGGAGTTTGTCTGTTTACATTTCCAAAACTGAAAATGCTTTGTTCCACCTTGTGAGGTCACGAAAGTTTCAAGTTAACAGCTAGTAGAAATTCAATTAGTCAACTGGACAAAAGTTTATTTTTAGTAAACTTTTGTCCAGTTGACAAATTTAATTTCTTCTTTTGCCATGGATTCTGCCTGGATTGTACACATTTTAACAGCTATTTTTTATTTTATTTGTTCTGTAGATTGGCAAGAGAAGGGCAGAAATCATCCAACTGATTCTCGTGAAGGTGTATGATGTTTAAAAACACAGTGGAGCACTTTCTGTATCATCACATGAGATCACAAGGTGGAAAAGGTGGAGTGTTTTCAGTATAAGAGAAGAACTCAGTCTAAATATGCAGGATTTGTGTGTTAAACGTGCAAATAAAACAAAACAGGTATGTTTTTGATGAGGAAACAGCATTATAACAAATCAGAAAATAAAGTAATATGGGCCCTTTAAGGTTACAAAGTAGAAATTACAAAAAATGAACTTAACACAAAAAATATGAAAGGAAGAAAGGCAAGCTGATCCCTTAATCTTGGTAAAACTCCTGCTTTTGACTTCAAGTGACGGCGCATAGGACCACAATTTATCCGCCCCGAAAAGACATAATAAAAACACATTTGAAGAAAAAAAAACAAACAGCAAAAACAACCAACCAAAAGTGTTAAATATATATATCGATCAATGGTCAGGGTATTGCACAAAGGGTACATTTGGCCCTAAACAGTCAACACAATAGGATTCTTGTCCATGCGTCTCCGAAATTAGCGGAGGGATATCAACACAGACACTCAAGATACAGGCTATGTACAGGACCGTCCCACGCTGGGATGGGCCGAGGGGGAGCGAAGGAGTCCATTTTGCGAGTGGATTATGGAGCTTTCTGTCAACAGTAAAAGTGCACTGTGAAATATAGCTGTAAGTGTTGTAATAGTCCAGCCCAGCCTCACAGTTAGTTTAATAATACTGGAAATGCAATACTGGGTTTAAATCGAGGGTTGGGTTAAAGATGCAATGTGTAGCTTTTTGTTTGCTGTTTTGTTTCCATGAAGATGTTATTACTTTGTCTGGAGTGTTCCGCAGTCTGGCTTATGCATGTATTCAATGTACCGTAATTTCCGGACTATTGAGCGCACCTAAAATATAAGCCGCATCAAAAAAATTTTAACGAAATTTTAAAATTATACATATATAGGCAACAACTGAGTATAAGCCGAAGGTATCCACGTCTTCAAGAACGTTTTCAAGTTCAGTCCGCCTCTGAAAGTTTTTGTCGTCTTTTTGCGTCGAGACAGTTTGTCACACTGCCGTCGCTTAAGTCTCGCCATCGACTCACTGATGTCGAGCTAACGTGCAGCAGCTCTGTTTCCACATCAATCGCCGTTAACTTAAAAGCTTCATCATCTGCATTTCTTCGTGTGTTTTCCATGAGGAGGGTGTGCATGAAGCGCAAAATAACAGTTCAAAACACAATCAAACGAGCATCTTCCTCGCCACATCACCCCCATCTCTCTCCGGACTCTACTGCACATGTCTCCTGCAGAAAGAGCCTCTGTCCTGTCCATATCATGTCAGTGTTATGCTTCAGATCCATGTGTCAGTGTCTTGGAGCAGATTTCAGACTCTCTCGGGGGCGGGGTTAGTTCTGTCAGTCCGGTCCGAGGGGATGTCCGCCTACTGAAGTTTGAGACGTTTCTTCTCGTCATTAACACATACGGGTAAGACGTATCCCCCTCACTAATGTTCATTTAGCATCATAACTTATTTACGGCGATAAACAATTTGAGAGCGCTGACAACATCGATAGCTAGTGTAGCAACTTCATGTGAACTCTAGATCCATGTGTTGCCCGCACAGACAGCGGTGTTTTCTGCACTCAGGCTGCGCGTATCTAGCCTGATCCATCAGCCGGTTTTACTTTGCTTCACTTCGTACAAACCGTCTGACATCACAGCCTTAGATTTCATTCGCTCGACGGTAGGCGGGTACTTTTTATGATTTAACCAATCACTGCTGTTTGGTCGTGACGTATGTAACGGGGCTAACTGGTATATTAATCTTTTCCCAAATCCCGTAGAAAAAAGGGCAATAACGTCTTTCCCTTGATGAAATTCACCAAACATTCTCTATGTTCCAGCTTTAAATCCTCAATCTCGGGAATCGTTGACAACACAGAATGTATGGCTCTTCGCTGATGGGCTGGTGCCCAAACTCACACTTCCGGGAATTTTGCGAACCGTCTTTTGTATTCTGATTCCTGACCTAGTTCCGGGAGAGAAATGAAATTGAGCAGAGGAACTAAGTCGCTCCAGCCTGGCTAGTGCTACCAAACCATAGACTGTTTATATGAATGGACAATGTGCCAAACAAAGACGTCCATATATTCGCCGCATCGTTTTATTAGCCACAGGGTTCAAAGTGTGAGAAAAAAGTAGTGGCTTATAGTCTGGAAATTACGGATAACGGTTTGCTTTTGTTGCTAAAAACACCAGATCTCACCAGTAACTTGACCTGCTTGTCTCGACAATGACCGATAAGATTAACATCATACTGTGGAATATTTCAGGTAAAGAAGCAATAACTCATTCATGAAAACAAGGTCGTGGATTAACCGTAAACTTGTCCCAGGGTTTTATCTGATCCCTTTACAAAGAAACGCATCATTCATAAATAAGTATATATCTTTATATCTATGTAATAATTTACTATTCTTTGACTCTGTTGGCCTCCGCTCGGTTGATTAGATTAGATTTTACTGCGTTAAAGTAGACGCAACAAAAGCTATTACACCTGTGAGACTGGGCTGTCGTATTCAGGGCTTGACGATAACTTTAGGCAGCTGATTAAATGCTTCTAAAAGGAATTTCGATTTAGTTTTAAAGGTGCATTATGTAGCTTTTCAGGTGGAAGATCTGACACTTGCTTCTGTCTGTGGAGATGTTATTGTTTTGCCTTGAATGTTCCACAATACGGCTTTAACAAGTCTCTTTCCAAGGAGACGTAGCCAAGTTAAAACTCAAGATTGGTGGAGAGTCTGCAAGTCACAGTAAGAATGCAAGTTTTAAGTAATTTTCTTCAATAAAATTACATGAAATTGAAAAAAAAAAAAAAAGCCATACTGAGGAACATTCGAGGCAAAGCAATGGAGACCAAAAAGCGGTGCCTCCCAAAGCGAAAAGTTAGAGAGTGCACCTTTAAATATACAATAATTCTAAACGTTCATGCTCAAAAAAAGCGGTAGTGGGTCAGTCGCAGCTGCCCACGAACGCAACGGTTGTCGGTTTGATTCCTGAAACTGTTCATGTGTCAGTGAGCAAGACACTTCACCTAACTCGTAACAATATTAGAGTGATTAAGCTTTTAGCAGATTGTCAAACGTGTAAAGCGCAATATTGATTTGAATTTTGGACAATTATTATTATTTTTTATTACAATTCAGCTACTTTTTTAGCTAAAATATTAAACATATTTTAAAAAACACAACAAAAAACGCTCAAAAAGCCAAAAAGTTACAGCCAAGCCCTGGTCTAATTCATAGTCTTATTCATTTACATAATAAACCCAGGCAACGAGAACAAACACAATGCAAGTAAAGGATATTTCTGAAAGTAACAACAACCAATAGCATTTGTATATTACTATATATATATTTATACGTGTATGTGGGAAATGTGGGAGTGTTTAGGTTTGCGTCTCCTCTGGTGCAGTGTACGAGAAGTCCTTGAACTCCTCCTGGTTGATCTGTCTGATGATTGCTTCGTCAGTTGGGGTCAAAACGGGGTCCTCCTTCGTGAAATCCTGGTCGAAGTTATTCACATCGCGTTTGGTTTTCTGAAACACACAGCACAGAGGGAAGAAGAAACAAGTTATACTGATATTTTGCAGCTTTTGTCATCTGCATTCTCTTGGGGTGTGACGCTAACTGGAGGCACGGCTCTGTCTTGAAGCTTTATGAATCAAGTTAGAGTTTAATCTGAGCTTCAATCTGACCAGAAAGAACTGATTTAGCAGGAAGTACAACAGGCGAGTGGATAGGTGCTGTTAAACAAGTCTCTCAAACATAAAATTACAGTCACAACAAGCTAACTTTTTGTTGAAAATCAAACTCCTAAACAGAACCATGACTGCTCGTATTGATCACAGGCTCCTGCTGTTTAAATTAAGGCAGAGCACGTTAATGCGTTAATTTTGCTTTAAGTAAATTCATTCATTATCACCGACAATTATTTTTCTTCCCTTAACACAGTTTTTATTATTTATTTTTTTATTGTAAACATCTGTTGCTCACTGGCTTTTATTTTTGAAAAAGTCAATTGTAAGTGAGCCTAGATGTTGCTTACTGCTGCGGCGCTCACAGTAAACAGAGAAAGAAAGCGGGATAAATAAACATGGAGAAGCGTAAGGAACTTTTACATGGCCATTTTCATTTTAAAGTTCTTTCAGACGGGGCAGTCGACACAGACACAGTAATTTGTAACACTGCAACACTGAACTGTCTTATCACCAGAGTTTCACGAGTCTGAAATATCACCTAAACGCAACTCACTCTGATGATGCAAACCATTCAATGAAACAAGCGGAGTGAGGCTTCAGCCGACCACGTCAGATGCAGCATGTCAGCGCCGTCGCTCCACACGCACGCACATCACGCGCAGCTCGTAGGGCACCAAGAGCATGCAGGGTCGATCGCTCTTCGTTGCAACCCCCGTCCCAGTTTAAATCCATTTTGTATTTTTTCTTTAGTTTTCAGACTTCATCTTAAAACTGTTTTGGTTGTGTTTGCTAATGCGTGCATTGTGTCACCATGGTAAATCCTAAACATATACACCCTAGAGATACATGTAGGACACCCCCCCCAGTGTGATGTCACTGTAAAGTATTAAAAAACTGTATCAAAATGGAGGTGGAGGTGTCTTTATTATCTTTATTATGGTTTATCTGTTTATTGTTTTTTAATGTTTTTTGGTGCAGAAACATTTCAGTTTATAACATTCACTAGATAAATAAAGAGTGGGATTGGTGAGTACTTTGTGTCCTTAGGCAAGACACTCCTTCCAGCGGGTGAGTGACCGAATAATTCTATATAAAAGGCTTTAGACTCTGGAAAATCATTAACTAATAATGTAATTGCTTTACACCAGGTGACTTTAATACACCACATTCATACTCAGGCAAGATGAATGAAGTGTCGTGCCCGTGGAAACAACAACAGCAAGCAAACTACAGACCAGTTTCCTCCTTTTCCTTTCCATGTACATGCCAAACCTTGTATATTAGACAGACAGATAAAAAGACAGAGAGATAAAGAGATAGAGAAACCGATAGACAGACAGACAGACAGAGAGATAGAGAGATAGAGAGATAGAGAGACAGAAAGATTCTTTATTGATCCTGAAGCATGTGTGCAGTGTGCTCTTACAATTCTGGGCTTAAACGGTGGTTTGACCTTCCTCTGCTCCAGCAGCACCCAGTCGATCTCTCTGAAGAACGGGTGAGTTTTGATGGCCTCCTCACAGCCCTGGGTCACCACACAGCCCAGACGCTTCGCCGGGTTCTTGGTCATGAACTACAACATAAGGACACATGTTTATTAGTATTCAGAAACTTCTGAACCTGACAGAAGCTATTTTCATATTGAACAGGCTTTTCACATTCACAGGTGACACATTTCTGTTTGTAGGTATGGTATAAGTGCATTAAACAACAATTCTGCAGTTTTAATACAGTTTGGGGAGGAACACCACTCAAAGATTCAATGACTCTGCGATGTGCATTACAACTGCATAATACACGGCTCCTCGTAGTTTAATATTTACATGTAGCGCTCCAGCTCCAACTAGAGGAGTCTAAAGTCTTTAAAGGCATGTGCAGAAATATCAGCACCACACACTTCCGTTTTTACTAGGCATGTAACAATAACTGAAATATCGTGACGTCATATCATCAAAATTGTCACAATAATATCATGGACCATCACAATATATAGATTTACAAGTCTCTTTGCTTAAATTAAGAGATATGGTGCAGCAATAGCTAAAAAAAAACTACATAGAACTACATAGACCATGATCCTTTGCTCCATATCAGTGTAGACTACAAGAAGAAATAACAGTTCTAGCACTTTTAAGTCTTAGTTATTTGGATTAAGTCTTGACAAGGCGTTTGGTAACACTTTATAATAACGACACCTTACTTAGCCTTAATAAAGCATGAACAAAGACTTAATTAATAATGAACAAAGATTTAATTAATAATGATTCACACTTAGTAAATGCTTAATAAAGGATAATTAGTCTTCACTTTAGAAAAGCTCTCAAAAACTTAACTAACAGATAACAGCTGCCTGAATTATCATTGCATTGTATTATTAGTAAATCATTCTCTCATAGATTACTAATCGTTAATAAATGCTCAAATGGTTAGTTCATGAGTAATTAAGTATGAAATAATTATGAGTAACTATTTTCAGCACAGGCAAATTAAGTGCAAGTGCTAATAAAGGTAATAATTAAGTAGTTACTAAGTGTGAATCATTATTAATTAAGTCTTTGTTCATTATTAATTAAGCCTTAGTTCATGCTTTATTAAGGCTAAATAAGGTGTAGTTATTATAAAGTGTTACCAGGCATTTTAAGAGGAAAAAGTAACATGTTCACAGTTTTGTCAATATGTTACTCCACAAAATATCACAATAAATATCGTACCGTGAGATTCATACAGTGATGATATCGTATCGTGACACTTGGATATCATTACACCCCTAGTTTTTACAGAAGGAATGTTCTGTCAACAAGAGCAAGACTGAGTCATAATGAAAACAAATACACAGAGTGGCGTTCCTTATTCAAATCAAACATGACACAACACGTGATTTAACTCGGCTCATGAAGGCCCACGGGAGCGGTTTATTCTCTCTACCATGTGAGCTGAATGTAAGGAGCCTGTTGCGGATGTCATGGCGATGATGATACATGAAATAGTTTGTACAAAGTCTGTACTGTGCTGATCATAGACTGGCAAAGAAGTGGACTAAGCGAGTGTAAGGTCACCCACAGCGTTTGGCTCCAGTCAAATGAAGCTTGTGATGCTAGCGACAGGGGTGAATTTGGAACCAGGCCCCCATATTACGCATAAGACTTTTTTAACAGACAAAAACAACAACAACAACAACAAAAAAACAGGATCATGTAGAGCAGGTTTATAGGGACATTTTAAGACCAAATGACGAGGCTAACAGCAGCAGTTATACAGAGAAGGGCCACAATATTCCAGTGTAAGACAATTGGAGCTAGGGTTGGGCGGTATCCAAATTTTTATACCGTTAAACCTTCTCAGGATTTTACTGGGGTATTACCGTATTATCAAAATGTTTTAGTAAGCCTTTGGTAAGCTACAAAGCTACATCGCTATAAAGTCTTTGTGTATGACCTGCAGACTTATAATCTCTGAAAAGTTTCACATGAATCATCTCCAACGGGACACACGCACAGAACAGACTCACCATCAGCAGCACATCCTCTGTCACAGAAAGAACACTCATATTCCACTGAGTCGTGTCCTTTAGTCCGACAGAAGCTGAACCACATCAGCGCACAAGGAGCGAGCTGTTTTTATCAGCGCTTTCTAGTTTATGCAAATGAGCCATGTGGTTTTAAGTTTCATTTCTGTAAAACGTAAACAAATGTGCACCTGAAGCCAAAATGTTGCCAAATTCCAGAAATACTAGAATTTTTGGGGGGACCAACTCACTTGGAGCCTGAATCCATCTTGTCTTCGTCTCCCTTATGAGCGTCTCGTGACAACAGAACAAAACTAATCGAACGTCGTCTCCGCACGCAGTTATAGATTCTACTAGTTGTAAATTGTGATAACATTAAATTGAAAATACAACCACACATTCACTTGTGCTGAGCAAACAAATGTAGGTATCAATAAATTATAATGTTACTAGGGATGGGCATTTGATGAAATTTTCTTAATCGATCATCGGAAGAATTAACGATCGATTATCGATTAATCATTAACGTTTTTATATTAAAATGATCATCATTATTATTACTATCTGCACTACTAATCTGCATAAATAAATTCAACTTTACGACATATAAACCGTAACGATTCTAGAGCCACATCAATCCATTTGAGATAATATTGTGTTTAATTCAGTTTTGCACAACTCTCACAGAAACGAAACTTAAAACTGCATCGCTAATTTGCATAAACTCAGCGAAGATAAAACTACAGCTCTTGTGTCGCTGATGCGGTCAATTTCTGTCGGATTAAAAGACATTATTCAGTGGAATACAGGTTAGTGTGACCATATTTGCGTTTGTCAAAACCAGGACACCGTACGAGGGGAGGGAGGTGGGGACTCATCATCGACATTGCGCGACTCTCACCTGGTAAAGCTTTTTCCCACTGGACACCGAAACATATGTTCTGCTTTATACACTGTGCACATGGACTCACACTTGTCCCGAACACAACGGAAAGTGTGAAATTTCTTGTACAAATCATCGTTAAATACGCATTTGTGCTTCGGTACGTTGCAGGCTGACCGACTGTGTTTGCTCGCTCCTTCTGAGTGCAGAGACACATGTACAGACCCCTGTTTGGTCACGCTACGCACAGCAACCTACATTCGGTTTGTCGATTAAAATTAACGTAATCAATGAAATTCTTAATGATCAATTATCTATTAATCGATTAATCATGCCCATCCCTAAATGTTACATTAGGTCCTTATGCGCTGCAGATTTTTTTTTAATGATGATAATGAAACTGATACCGTTGATACTTTTTGATACCTTAGGATACTGTAAAACTGTATTACCGCCCAACCCTAATGGGAGCCGGGGTCAGAAGGAGCCGGAAGAGCCCCCGTGTGAACTTCCCGTTTGGATCAAGCACGTTCGTCCATTTACATTTACAGTCTGTGGTGCTGATGTCCCCTGTGCTATTTCTACTGTTTAAAAGTCGTTACTAGGCAGTGGAGCCTGGTGCTCTCTGTCTAATCTGATTGTCTGTTGTAAATGTGACTGTGAGTGAGTGTTCATTCAGAGGAGGTTGGACAGTTACCGCTCGGAGGATGGACACAGCCTCTTTGCTGAGCCACACGGGGTAGAGCACGTCGTCGTGGAGAATAGACTCAAAAAGGTCGTCCTCGTTGTCGGCCTCGAAGGGGGGCTGTCCCGCCATCATCTCGTACATGAGCACCCCCAGAGCCCACCAGTCCACAGACGCGCCGTACTCCAGCTCCTGCAAGATCTGAGACACACGGAGCACACGGGGCGGGTTAGGGACGGAGGAAAAAACGCAGTGGACTCAAAATCACACTTTGAATGGTTACAAAAGCTGCTGTTTTCCAGGTATTGTAAAAGAAATAGGAACAAATCTGAAGACGCTGAAGTCCGTGAATAAACAAAACCTACACAAAGCCTCCTCTTTAGACCTTGAGACTCTTGTATCAGTTCAGGCAGATTGTGGATGGAGAAAATCACAGTCACGTCAATATCGCAGTTTGAATTGTTACACTTAGCAAATGGAAAAAGCTGGTGTTTTTCAGGCATTGTAAAAGAAAAAGAACAAATTTGTCTTAGTTACTATAGCGATTAACAATTTGAAAACAAAATATTAGGGGTGCAACGGTACACAAAAATCACGGTTCAGTACGAACTTCGGTTTTGAGGTCATGGTTTGGTTCATTTTCGGTTCAGTACGGAAACAAAATGCAAAACCATTTACTTGTTGTTTATTTGTGTTTTTATTAAACCAACAGTTTGTTCTAACATTATACTAACGGGAAAATAAAATAAATGCAAAGTGTTAGTTGGTAATACTAAGTTAAATACAATATTCTCAAATAAGCAAAAAATGTATGAAATATTATAAAAAATAAATGTCTTGTAAACAATAAACAAAACTTTTCAAAAAGTAAAGCGCAGCACGAACAGTTCCAGGATGAAATTTTACTCAATCTTCATATTTTTGTCCAGAAAAAATAAACTTGTCCACATTGTCTGCAGTAGGAGCAGATCTGCTGCAGTTACAAGCGGTTCCCCAGCGGATGAAAATACAAACTATAGCCTTTAGAAAGTGAACGGGTTGCGATGACCGTAGTTTTGCGAGGATTCACGTGGTTCGGACGGACTTGGTCAAGGCGGGGGGGCAAATATAAAGTGCTGTGGGAAACGCTGGCACCCCAATCACGGACGAGTTCCCTCATAAATACTAAACAGCTGAGCTTTCCGTGTAGCTGCACATGTAGTGGCAGAACGTAAACACACACAAATTGCGCGAACTCATGCACAGCCCTGCACCGAACCGAAAGTCCTGTACCGAAACAGTTCGACACGAATACATGTACCGTTCCACCCCTACAAAATATTATATCTTTTAAACAAGAAACTGAAAGTCCATAAATACACAAAAGCTACTAACTCGTTTACTATTTAGACCTACCTGTAGAATAATGTTCTTGTATTAGTTTAGAAAGTGACAAGTGCACACGTACTACCAAACTGCTTTTAATGAATGACAATGTTTTGATCAGTGGATCTTCGTCAGGTCATGACACGTTGCTCTTCATTAAAAGCAGTTTGGGAGTAAGTGTGCAGGGATTGTCTCACTTTCTATGTTCACTGTAGTAGCCTTGCACCAGTGATGTGTGTATACCTAAACCTTTTAAGATTCTTGCATTAGTTTAGCAGTTTCAGATTTCAGTCTGGCTAAAATGTTAGTGCTTCTGTTTTAATGAAGGTCACTACAAAGGACGAGGACAGGAAGAAAGCTTGTTGTGGACTGGTTAACCCTGTTGTAAATGGTTCTGAGTTTAGTTCTGGTTTAATCTTGGTTTAGTCCAGGTTTTGGCTTGGTTAAAGGTGCACTGTGGAACTTTTCTGGTGGAGGGTCTGTCACCTGCTTGTCTCCATGGAATGCTATTGCTTTGTCTGGAATGTTTTGTGTTTACTGTCCGTCTTGCATTCACTCAGTTACATGTGTTTTACTGGCTTAGAACCATGTGTTCTTACTGTTTGTGGGCTCGCCTCTCCACAGATCTGATCCTGTAACTTGTAGCATCAGTTGCTTGAGCTTATTTGAGATAAATAAGTGTAATACTGGTTTTGTAGTATAGGTGTAATATAGGTTTTGTGTGAAAACTCCAAGCAACACAATAATACTGTCGTGTAAAGAAGCACGCGATCAGAAAAGTTACACAGTGCACCTTTAAGCATTTAAGTATTAGTTATCTTAATACAGAATTATATTAGTCCTAGTTTAGGATCACCCATCTGTGGCTCTTTCACTATGGGCAGACTGGGAACTGGTGGAGAAATTTTAGTCTGGAACAAGACAACAAAATAACATAATCATCCAAAATGCTAATTGGTTTTTTTTTTCAGTCTTTAATCTTAAAACATGTTTAAGACATATTCAAAAGTCTGAGAAGCAAAATGTTGGAAAAAGTTTGTGAATCAATATTAGAATGCTTTAAAGATGCATTGTGTAACTTTTCTGGTGGAGGGTCCGTCAGATGATTTTCTTCACGGAGATGTTTTTGTTTTGTCTGGGATGTTTCACAGCAGAGGTGTTGTTTTGCAAGTCTCAAGTAAGTCTCAAGTCTTTGACCTCAAGTCCGAGTCAAGTCCCAAGTCAAATACAGGCAAGTCCAAGTTGAGTCTCGAGTTACTGGGCAGTAAGTCCAAGTCAAGTCCAAGTCGTCTGCTTTGAGCTTCAAGTCATTTCAAGTCTTTAAACCAGGCATGTCCAAACTGTGGCCCATGGACCAAATGCGGCCCTCAGACAAATTTTTCTTGGCCCTCAGGATTCCAGGTGAATTGGCCCAAATGACCTTGCATCAATTACAAATTTACTTTTTACTACAAGTTTTTTGAAAGTCGACCTTGATAAAAATAATATTTAATATTTAATGTGTGGTTTTAAGGATCTTAGCCTGAATAAAGACTGATGGTTCATTCTAACATGTTAAACATGCACATATTTAATTTATTCACTGTATTGAGCTCCAGTCTACGGCCCTCGATCAGCCTCTGCTTCGTCTGTGTTTAGATGTGTGGCCCTTGATGAAAAAAGTTTGGACACCCCTGTTTTAAACCTGCTTTAAAGTATATATAATAATATAGCTTAGATTTTTGCAATTTATAGGAATTTTAAATTAAATTGTATTTAAAGCGTCAGGAATATTTATATAAAAGTTGTAGGAAGGCAGATTTTTTCTTTTTAAATGTCTTGACAAGAGTGCTAAGTATTACGGTCAGAATGGAAAGAGTTCAGATTTAAGAGCGCTTGATAAGAGTTCATTTGTCAACTAGTCTAAGCATCAAGTCTTTTCAAGTCACAGGGCTCAAGTCTGAGTCAAGTCCCAAGTTACTGACCTTCAAGTCGAGTCCCAAGTCTTTGTCTCAAGTCTCAAGTCTTAAAAATAGTGACTCAAGTCTGACTCGAGTCCCCACCTCTGATTCACAGTATGACATTAAACCTTTCTATCTTCATGGAGACCAAACCAGACCAAGTTACAGGTCAGATCTGTGGAGAGGCGACCCCGCTCACAGTTCAGAATTCCTCTTTTCTAGGTGTTTTTGAGCTATAAAACCATCTGTAATTGAATTCATGTAAGTTAGAGCACTTTAATGTCACACTGTGGAACATTTGAGGCGGAGCAAAGACATATCCAAGTGAAGGACCCTCAACCAAAAAGTTACACGGTGCATCTTTAATATTGTACACATTTGGGGGAAGATTTGGTCGAAGTACCTCGGGGGCGATGTAGTCGGGGGTCCCACAGAAGGTGGTGGTGGTCACTCCGTTCATGATTCCTTCTTTGCACATCCCGAAATCGGCCAGTTTACAGTGACCCTCGGCGTCCAGCAGGATGTTGTCCAACTTCAAGTCCCTGACAACCAAAGAACAGAGAAAATAATTCAACACAAGATAAGAACAAAAGAGCTGTTTGTGTTCATGTGATTTATCCCACAATCGTTCAATTACAGCTGTTTTTGTTGTGAAAAAATAAACAGAGTGGATTTGCTTCTCCATGGAGACAAGGAGAAGAGCTTCCACCAGAAAAGTTACACAATGCATCTGATTTTTACTGTCTTAAAAACGTGAAAAACAGAACTAGAACTATTTTAAATGGTCTGCAGTGGTCCAAAGTTATTCCTCACTTACTTTACATTTTTAAGCTGATACTTTTTACTTTTACTTCACTGCATTTGAGAGCAGAACTGAAAATAAAAGTGTTATTATTTTTTTTATTATTATTGTGTGAGACCTGCTGAAAAGGCTGAGTTTAGTTTTTATTTATTTATTTTTTATTAAGTTCTTAATTTGAGCAAACAAAAATACACAAAAAAAACAACAAAAAAACGATTCAATTGTTTAGAATTTCACCACAAATTTTAATAAAAATCACTGTGTTTGAAACTTTATTACTTCTCAAAATCTGCCTGAAATACTTTTACTTTTTACTCTTTCAGTACATTTTTAAACTGGTGCTTTAGTACTTTTACTTAAGCAGATTTTTTCATGTGATACTTTTACTTTTACTGTTTTTTAGTGTTTTTTTTTTTTTTGCAACAGTACTTGTACTTTTACTTAACTTTGTCTTTTTTGCTTCTGAATGTGTAGAGGTAAAATGAATTAAACATAAATCTGAGCGCTATTTTTCAGTCCTAATAATATGATTAGTGAGCAGTACACGTGTTTCACCTGTAGATGACGCCGTTGCGATGCAGAAACATGAGCGCGGACGTGACTTCAGCGGCGTAGAAACGGGAGCGCGGCTCGTCAAACTTCCTGGACCTCTGGATCTGAAACATCAAGTCTCCTCCATTCACATACTCCATCACGAAGAACAGACGGTCCTGAAGAGAGACGGACGGAGGGAAGGAGAGGAGGAAAGAGAGGAAGAGAGGGAGGGAGAAAGAGAGGGAGAGAGAGAAGGAGAGAAATAAAGAGAGAGGGAGGGAGAAAGAGAGGGAGAGATGGAAAGAGAGAGGGAGAGAGAGGAAGACATGGAGAGAGAAGGACAGAGGGAGAGAAGGAGAGGGAGAGCGAGGGAGAGAGTGAAGAAGAAAGAGACAGAGAGAGGGAAAGAGAAGGAGAGAGAGAAGGAGAGAGGAAGGGAGAGAGAGAGAGAAGGAGAGGGAGAGAAAAGAAAAGAGAGAGAAAGAGAGAGGAGAGAGAGAGAAGGAGAGAACGAATGAGAGAGGGAGGTAGGGAGGGATGGATGGAGAAGGAGAGAAAACGAGAGAGAGGAGGGAGGGATGGATGGAGAAGGAGAGACGAATGAGAGAGAGAGAGATGAGAACGAGAGAGGGAGGTAGGGAGGGATGGATGGAGAAGGAGAGAACGAATGAGAGAGGGAGGTAGGGAGGGATGGATGGAGAAGGAGAGAACAAACGAGAGAGAAGGAGCAAGAGAAGGAGAGAGAGAGAGAAGGAGAGGGAGAGAGATAAGGAAAGAGAGGGAGAGAGAGAGAAGAAGAAAGGGAGAGAGACAAGGAGACAGGCAGAGAGAGAAGGAGAGAGAGAAGGAAAGAGGGAGAGAGAAAAGGAGAAAGGGAGCGAGACAAGGAAAGAGAGAGGAGAAGAGACAGAGAGGGAGAGAAGGAAAGAGGGAGAGAGAGTAGAGAACGAAGGCGAGAGGGAGGCAGGGAGGGACGGAGAAGGAGAGAAAGAGAGAGAGAAGGAGCAAGACAAGGAGAAAGGGAAGAAGAGAGAGATGGAGCAAGAGAGGGAGAGAGAAAGAGAAGGAGAGAGAAGGAGAAGGAGAAGGAGAGAGAGTGTGAGGAGGAAGAAGATCATGGTCCATTATTAAATCGAAACAAACACAGTGACAATACAAAAAAATAAATAAACATTTATGATTTAAAAAGACAGTCACAGCAGAGTCTCCACATCATAAAACTGGCGGCGCATTGCACAGTTGTCTGATAAAACTGTGCATTAGAGTTCTGAGGACAGCCTGTAAAGTGTTCACTAAACTGGCTCTTTGTAATTATTTTTACATATGAACTTATTATTTATTTATTTATTTACTTAATCTAACTAGTAAAACAATCACAATGAGATCCTTTTTTTGTACTTTTCCCCTCCAAAATCACTCAGACATGTGTGTTACAGCTGCAGAAGGTCTATTTCTCTGCTCTTCTAAACCATTTTGCACATTTTGGATCAACCACAAATCCTCAAAAACACTACACTGCGAGCGTACCCGTGTCTGGAAGCAGCAGTACAGCTGGGTGAGGTAGGGGTGTCTTCGGGCCAGGGCCAGGATGCGTTTCTCGGTCATGGTGCAGTCCACGTCGTCATCCTGGAGGATCACGTCTTTCTTCAGGACTTTAACAGCGTAAACTTCCTCTGTGCCCTTCAACTCTGCTAACATCACCTGCACAACACCATACAGAGGTTATATTGGTATTTTACGGCTGACATCGATGTTTCCTGGAGGTGTGATGTTAAGTGTAGGCTCTGCTCGGGCTGAAGCTCTGTTATAGAAGTCTGCGCGGGACAGAATTTTCAGTCCCGCTCCTGCCCGCGCCTGCAAAGAACTGTAATTTTTAGGGGTGCGCAAAAATATCGGAATATCAATATATTGTATCGTTTAATGTGATGATACAGTATCGATATCGTGGGCTACTGTATCGATATATCAGCAAGAGTACTTTTACATGTGTTTTACTAAATTATTTTGTTACAGCTACAGTTTTGTTGCTTGTGGAGTGAAAAGAAACTCATTTATGCAACACATTTGACATTTTCACTGTTTTGATGATTAAAATGTTTGTGTTTCATATGAACTTTTCACAAGAAGTGGTTTAACAAAGACTTTTAGTATCACAGCCACGATTTAGACTTTATTTTTTATTGAACTGTATCTAATCAATCTCTGCAAAATGTAGTTTGTAACATAATCCATTAAATTACCTAAAGTGAGTAATGTAATCTGAATATTTTGGATTACTGGTATTGTCATGTTTTTTAAAACTACATAAATGTAGCAACCACATCCTGAAAATTCTTGTTTGTTCTCTTCAAATTGTCTGTTGAGCCCAAGTCTCCATGAAGAGGCAACTGTTTACTGTAGAGAAGCAAAGACCAGGAAATCTTAACATGAAATATTTAGTTTTGTCTGCTAAAAGAAAATAAAAAAGGGCAGTTTTTACTTAAGCATATAAAAAATATTATTGATAGAGAAATGATTTTTATATGAAATCACTGCTGCCTTAAATTATGTCCACCTACTGTTATGTGTCATTTTGTGTAGACCTGGTTTATTCCTGCTTTAGTCCTTTTTTAGTGCTTGTTTAGTCCTGGTTTTAGTCCTGGTTTATTCCTGGTTTAGTCCTGGTTTAGTCCTGGTTTTAGACCTGGATTAGTCCTGGTTTAGTTCTGCTTTAGTCCTGGTTTAGTCCTGATTTTAGACCTGGTTTAGTCCTGATTTAGTCCAGGTTTAGTCCTGGTTTAGTCCCGGTTTAGCCCAAAATGTGTAAACAGGAAAATACCTCTGTGTAATCCATTTATTTTAACAAAGTAACTGTAATCCAATTACCACTCATTCAAACAGTAACTGTAAATGAATGCAGTTACTCATAAATTGTACTCTGATTATGTAATCCTAGTACATGTAATCTGTTACTCCCCAACACTGACTTTGTGTAATATCAGACCTTTAAACTGTACCACATATTACAGTGCCCCATACAGAAAACACTGTAAATATAAAATGTAACAGTGAGTGACTACTGCATTCATCAGCCCACGCACCTTCCCGAAGCTGCCTTTGCCCAGGACCTTGATGAAGTTGAAGTCTTTGAGCGTCCGGCGTTGGCTCTGTCCGTTCTCCCGGCCCGCGGAGGAAGAGGAGGAGGTGGAGGAGGAAGAGGAGGAGGTGGAGGAGGCAGAAGAGGAGGAGTTCTGGGGACCGCCCTGATCCAGAGACAGGGCGTCCTGTAGCCGCTCCAGCTCAGACAGGTCTGTGGAGCAGAGAGCAAACTCAACAGGGGGATACGTATGTGGAAGAGAAGAAAGTTTCACCACAATATTCATGGTATTTATTAGAATTGAAGGCAGGAAAAAATACAGTTGATGAGTTAATTTGCAAAAAACAGATAATTATGACAGGTCGTAAATTAAGTTGTCTAGCTACATCAACTTAAGTTCATGTTCGTGTTAATAAGATGACAAAGAAGCTCAGTAAAAACATACAACTACATTGCAATTTTCACAGATTTGTTGGACATGATGCCAGCGTCCTATAAAGCGTTAACCATTCAGATCGCTCATTGTTTCTCAAAGACGGGGTCAAGACTCTCAGGTGGGTCGCAAGAGGTTTGTTTTTGAGTCGCCTTGTCACACTCTGCATGTCGGTCTGCAGTATATAGTTCTGACACTGATCTGCTGCTGCGCTCTCGTCCTGCACCCGGACTGGAACACGCTACAAAAACACAGACAGGCCCACCTATCTCTGCAGAAATGTTGAAATGTTAAGTCTGTTTTGTATAATTTCTAATGTTTTGTATTTATTTTATTGACTAATTTGTTCTCATATTGTTGGTTCAAGTGAATGTTGAAAAGAAAAAGAAATGAGCTACATTTAAAGTCCAAATAGACGACTTATGGATCCTTTTATTGCTGCTTCAATGACTGTTTTTCATTGTTTAAAACTTTAAAGAGAGACGATCACTCAGTCAAGAATAAAATATCCTCATTAATGTTCAATAATGCTCAAATCCACCTTTATTTTGTGATTTACGAATAATATCTATTGACTCACGAAAGTTTGTGATTTTTAAAATATGGGTCTCCAGAAAAAAAGTTTGGGAAACACTGAGATCACTCATTTGTTTTAAACTTTTCTGTACACACATTTGCCTGTCATCTTAATTAAACAATGATTATACAGATTATTATTATATATGTATTTTATATATAATTAAGATTAACATAACATGATGTTATTCTAATATATATTAATCTGTCATCTTAAATGTTTAATTAAACCTATACAGCAAGGTGTCAAACATAAGGCCCGGGGGCCAGATCCGGCCCTCCAAGACCTTTAATCTGGCCCTCAGCTGACTTTCTACTAAAATATTGTAAATATATTTTCTATTAAAATATGATTAATTTTCTGTGGTGTTTATCATAGCAGCATCTCCAGCGTCTCTGTACGTGGCCCCTCCCACCAGAGCAGCACAAATGAAGACTTGTCTCTTTCCAAACGCTCTTAAAGGACGATCGTTTTGACTGTTGACCGTGACACCCTCATCAGAAAAATGTCCAACATGAGAAAAGTGGAGCCGGGTGCAGGATTTTACAACAAAAATTGACTTATTCCTGTTTACATACAAATTCATGTTAAAATATTGTATTGAAATTGTTTTTTTCTTAAAGTTTCAGGTTGCTCATAATATTATAATATTTTGTAAAAGAAAGAATTCATCAGTTAAAAAAGATTTCTGTAATAGATTTGTGTTTCTCTGCACAAATATTTTAACTTATTGTTATTTTTGGGGTTTATATGTCATGAGTTTTCTGATCCGGCCCCTTTGAGATCAAAGTAGGTTGGATATGGCCCCCGGACCAAAATGAGTTTGATACCCCTGACATACAGCAAGCGGTCAGTCGGTTCATCAGCAGAAGTGTCAAATGTGTTTACAGAAAAGTTTAAAACGAACGAGCGATCTGAATGATTAACGCTTTATAGCACGCTGGCATCACGTCCAACAAATTCGTGAAAATTGCAGTGTAGTCGTGTGTTTTTATTGAGCTTCTGAGGTGAACTAAAGGGTGTCAGCCAGAGAACACAAACCACGCAAAAGTCTACAGCAGCCAGCCGACCAGAAAACCGGTTTTAATCAAACACAGTACAGATCTCCAATAGGACTTGTAATGTTTGCACATCTCTGAATGTTTGGAAACAGGAAATCCATCTGTATATTCATAAACTTCTGCTTTTTGTTTTGTAGGCACCATTTTGAGCACTACAAAGGATAAAATATTTAGTTTTGAATTGTTAACTGTGGCCACTCTTCTAACTTCTACAGTGATTCATTCATTCAGTCCACGTTTGTGATGCTTGAGCATCATCTAGCGGTTATCCCCATGTAGTGAAACGAAATGTAATAGACTTGGAAATGCGTCTGAAATTATGTAAAGCTCAGACATATAAAAAGGCTTGAACTGTAAATCTGTGAAATAGTTCAGGGTGTTAATGCTGTGATCTATGAAATCACAAAATCAAAGAACTGAAACTAACAATTCTTCACCCCTCTTTTCATTAATAGCCTGATTGTAACAAAAAACTTAAATAAACCATAATTTTAACTGATAATTTTAAAGATATACCCCTTAAAAATCAATGGTTTTGACCTGTTTTGCTGATGAACGCGGAGACTCAAAGTTAGTCGTTCTCAGATGGAAAAGTGTGAAGACATGACTAACTGTGAGGAGCACATGGAGGTGGGCGGAAGGCTCCAGCGAACCAGGTTTCATCAACAATAGTGCCACAATCTGAGGCTACGCTCCCTTTGAAACTGGACAACTTGTTCTTACTGGAATAATTATCATCCTGCTAATTACAGAACACGAACAAAACTGTATTATTAAAGGTGAACTACGTAGTATGAGTATGAGCATTAAACTGTGCTCAAACGTCTACGTCTAAGTGTTTACATGTCTGATCTGTGGAGAGGAGACCCCACTAATAGTAAGAATGTGTTAGTGTTGCTCCGACACCAGTAGCACGATACCTGAAAAATGTGCAGTATCGGAGCTTTTGCCAGTATCGGTATTGGAAAAACTCTAGAATGTATGTTAAGTTTTTCATTTATTTTTAGCAATGAAAACACTTGAATAAATGTGAAATATTGGTATGTTTTAATGCCATACTGTGGAACCTTCAGTGAAATTACAGAACACTAATAAAACGGCTGCTTTTAAAACACCCTGACAAGAATTTGGTGTGAATTATTTCCGTCATAATTCCAAGAATTCAAGTAAAACTAGGGCTGGGCAAAATAAAAAATATTAATCGCATGAGTTTGAGTGTGATTAATCTCATGTTAAATGCAAAACCAATTAAAGAATTAAAAAGTAGAATATAGTGCACATTTATTGGAAATGTAAATGTTTGTTGTGCAAACAGCATTTCTTTCACAGGGGAATCCTCAGAGCCTTCAGGGTATTCAGTGAAAGCTCAAAAAAAACAAAACTGAATGAATTTACTAATATATTTTTTCAATATTTTTATTTGGTGAGTAATAAACACGACACTAGTAATAATTTCTAGATCATTGTTATAAACTTGGACTGATATTTCTTGGGAAACAAAGGGTTAATAATAATGGAATGGAAATGGACCAATCACAGTTTTTCTTCCAGTTGTATCTGGGTAAATCAGTGACTCTCCCTGCAGCACTGAACTAAACAAACACCTGCAGGAAACTTCGGTGGCTGGAACGAAGTTTGAGATTGACAGTTGTCTTAGCCAATCATATTTCACTGAGTTATGGGTGGGATCATATCATGAAATCTTCCGGGCCTTCGTGAATACCCTGTGATAGTATAATATAACTGAGACCGCAGCGACGAAAACCGCCTCTATTTGGACGCCTCAGGGGCATCTGAAAGAAGGAGAATAAAGAGAAAGACCCGCGGCCCGGTTTGAGCTCGGAGCCCGCGGAGACTTGGACACGTTGCATCTCACGTGGTCAGAAAAAAGTTTAAAAAGTGTAAAGAAAAGACGTCAAACTTAAAGAAACGCTCGTGGTGGACTTCTTCAAAATAAAAGTCAGAGGGCAACAGATGTTTACAATAAAAAAATAAATAAATAATAAAAAACTGCGTTAATGTGCCCAGCCCTAAGTAAAACATATTTCTTCATGTTGTCTGTGCTGAAATGAATCATGGGATATGTAGTTCCTGATGTTTATAAGCTGTTGCTATTATTAAAAATGTATTAAAGCAAAGGAACTTGTAATTCGATATATTGCGACACCCCGTGGTATTATTGTGAGACTTTTGATGATACGATATCACGATATTTTGGTTTTTGTTACATCCCTAGTAAGAATTAATGTTAAGTTTTTCATGTATTTTTAGCAATGAAACCACCTGAGTAAATGTGAAATATAGATGTTTTAAAACCTTATTGTGGAACCTTCTATCAAGTTGATTTCAAAAGCTCTTTCTAAGTGTTACCACCAGAATACTCTGCTGCATTATGGGGTGGGTACCTTGCTGTGAGGGGGAGGTGGGCACAGCGGGGGGGCTGAAGTTGCTGTCCTCTGTTTGGGAGAGCTCCGGAGGAGACTGGGGAGGGTCCTGCCCTGGAGTCAACTGCACAAACAAAACAAAACAAAACAACACGGTCAGAATGGCTGTGAAGACATTTCATTCTGGTACAAGAGATCAGGAGGAGAATGGCAACGCAATAATAATCTTTTTATAGATCTGACTGTGGACTGGATATATAAATGGACATTTGTTGCACCTCTCTCTGTAACTGCTGCAGTGAGCCGCGTCATTTTGGTCTTAAAATGTTCCTTTGTGTTTTATTTCTCTATTTTATTCGTAAATCAATTCCTATTCCTAATATCTCTGCATGGTGAGCTTCATTTGACTGGACCAGAATGCTGTGGGTGACGTCACACTCCCTTATTCCCCTTCTTTATACAGTCTATAGTGCAGAGTTTATTAGGGGTGTAACGATATCCAAGTCTCACGATACGATATCATCACGGTATGAACCTCACGGAAAGATACTTATCGCAATATTTTGAAGAGGTTAACAGAACTGTACATCAGAGTCCTGCTTGGGCTTTCAGAAATATTCATGAGTATAGGATAGAAATCCGTGTATATTTGGCTGCAGCTGAGAAAATAAAGATTCGTAAACTCTAGTATGAGGCCCGTTGTTCATAAATGTGTTGTGAGTATTTTATCCATCATAATACAAATTGTTACAACATCAAGAATTACAATCACGACATGAAAATTTACAATTACTCTTTCTTCAGTACGAATAAGAATTCACAGACATGACTTTATTGTCAAAAATACGTCATCACTTCACAGGCATTATTGACTGAACCAGGACTCAAGTAGGATTAAACCAGGACTAACCCAGGACTAACCTAGGACTGATCCCAGGACTAAACTAGGACTAAACCAGAACTGAAACAGGACTGACTGAGAAGACTGTTGGGTGATCGCAGGAGAAAGGACCGGTGCAGAGCTCCGCGGCCAATGGGGCTAAGTGCAGCCGTCGCCTGATCGCGCTTTGTTAGTTTTGTGGTTTAGTCCTGGTTTAGTCCTGGTTTAGTCCTGACCCACCAGTGTATAGGCGAGTTTCAGCTGACGTCATTGTTATTAAAAGCGCGCATTGCATGCTGGGAAATATTTTGGTCGGAGGCAAGACACACGATAGCGGTCAAACACAGTGCGTAACCTCGCGTATTTATCCTCGATAATGGTAAATTCCTGCTGCATTATCAGATGCACAAATAGAAGCACGGAAGAAGGAAGATGTCTTTTTCGTATTCCGAATGAAAAGAACCGCTAACGGTGAATTAAACGGCTTTCAAATATTCACAGAGCAAACGTAGAAGATCCAAGCAAACCGTGGACTCCAACAAGTTCAACGACGCATCAAGACTCTTGGAGGTTTTCATCTTTTCTGCTGTGAATGGCTCAGGAGTTTCCACTAAGTCATTGTGGATATCACCGAAGTGAATATTTGGCCAGGTAGTTGGTGATTCTGACCAGAAATCTGGTTTGGTCCAGCTTTTGTAGGGGTTGAACAGGGTGATTTGGCTCCATCGATGCTTATGACCAATTTCTGGTCAAATGGTCTTGGGTCCTCTGCCGTTAGAGTGGATAAATAACTGGGATCAATACCCTTTACGTGCTTTCTCACTCCGTCCGTCATGTTGAATTAGTGTTTATTGCCGCCGACCAAAATAATTCCCAGCATGCAACGCGCGCTTTTGTCAACAATGAAACTCGCCTATACTCACTACTCGCCCACATACCCGCTCGTAAAATTCCTTAACGTTACAACCCGCCCGTTTCACCAACTATACCCTCGGGAACCCGACCCGGTGCAGGACTCTGTTGTACATGTTCTATTTCTTCCTTTTTAAATACCTTGACAAGTCTTTAGTGTGGATCATTACTGCCATATTCCAAAGAAAAACGATTTAAAAGCGCTTAATAACAATTATTTTAACATGTAGTAAAGTAAGTAAAGGATCATGGCCTATGCATTTCCTCTTTTTAAATACTTTTACATGAAAAATCTTGCAATTCGATATTATTGTGAGAGTTCTGACGATACGATATCACAATAATTTGGTTATTGTTACATTCCTAGAGTTTATAAACAGAAAGCCTCATTCTAAACAGTATAACATATGATATTTTTGTAATTCATCAGAAATGCTACCAAAAGTGTCAGTAAATCGAGTATGACATTGTGAGTTCACTTCTTTTTTTAATTTATTTTATCTGATATCTTTGTACTTTTTTAGTTTTTTATGACAAATTTTTCAGCATTAAAAGTTTTTGTCACCTCTGGTTAAAGCTACATCTGTGAAGAGACTGACGCTGTTGTATGGAGGAGCACTTCTTACAGATTTTAGCTTTAATGCTCTAGTTTCATTTGCACACATTTCTAGGTTAAATAAAGAACATTTAAATCTTACACTTGTGTCTCGTACCTTCCTCCTGCGCTGGGCTGTGTTGGAGATCTTGTCGGGGGTCACTCCGAGGTCGGACAGGACTTTGGCGATGCCGCGAGCGTCCACGCCACAGTTCGGAGCCACGTTGGTCTCACAGCGTCGGTGCACGTTCATCTTACACACTGAACCCAAACACACAGGGTTAACATCACCAGAAACTATATTTAATTATCAAAGTGGGTTTCAACACCAGTTAAACTTACTTAAACTAGTAATCAGTTTTTAAAAATAGGAAAATGAAGCTGTCACGTGAAGCCATTAAAATTCTGATTCTGTAACTCTGTACTACAAAGCTGGATTAGAGAGTTAGTGAGGTCGCTTCAGGGTAAACTCATAACCTCTGAACTCATAACCCGCTTCAGACCAGGTTAAGTGTCAGAATAAGAAAAGAAGACGACCAATCAGAGCTGAGAATCCAGATATTCTTCACTGACAAAACTTTACAGCTTTTTCACGATTTTTCATGACCTAAAGTGAATTTTCCATGACTTTACAGCACCTACATGTGTAGAATTGATCAGACTTTTGGGGCTAAATATGAAATGTTAACCTCTCTCCACTCACCTTATGGTTTGGTATTATAATTTTTTAACATTCAAAATACTGTCAGTGCATTTATTGTCGTCTCTCTTAAACAAAAGGTGCAGATGTTCAGAAAATAGCCTAATGAGAACTTAACAGAACGCTGTAGTTGAGTGAAAGAGATACTAAGGCTTCTTTTATATGATGACGGTCTGAACAGAAGACTCAAAAGTGGCATCACGTCTTCATGTTTTATTCCGTGTTTAGACAAGTGTTTTCAGGAGGAAATCTGCGTGCATATGGTGACGCAAAAGTGTGGGGAATTTGATTTGGGTATGCTTGCCAGGTTTCTGTGTCCTGTATGTATGTGACGTGAGCAGATTTGACCAGAGTTTTGCGTCTTGGGCAGTGTAGACGGAAACGCTACAGCGGAACATATTCAACTTTTCCACTGTAGACGAAAGTTTCAGATTTTTGTGTTTTTAAGCCCCTAAAACGCCATCACCGTCTAAACGAAAGGCACTTCCGATCAAATATTTTGTCGTTTTTTTACCCACAAGCATTCTCAAGTAAACAGGCCCTAAAATTCCCTGACTTTTCCAAAACTTTCATTGAATTTACAAAATTTCATGACTTTTCCAGGCCTGTAAAATGACATTTTCAGGACCTGTTTACATAAGTTTATGCTTGTGGGTAAAAACAACAAAATATCTTATCGGAAGTGTCTTTCATTTAGATCAGGGGTGTCAAACTCATTTTGGTCCGGGGGCCATATCCAACCGACTTTGATCCCAAAGAGGCCGGATCAGAAAACTCATGTCATATAAACCCCAAAAATAACAATAAGTTCAAATATTTGTGCAGAGAAACACAAATCTATTAAAGAAATCTTTTTTAATTGATTAACTCTTTCTTTTACAAATATTATAATATTATGAACAACCTGAAACTTTAAGAAAATTTCAATTTTCAACACAATGTTTTAACATGAACTTGTATGTAAATAGGAATAAGTAAATTTTTCTTGGAAAATCCTGCACTCGGCTCCACTTTTCTCATGTTGGACATTTTGTTGATGAGGGTGTCACTGTCAACAGTCAAAACGATCGTCCTTTAAGAGCGTTTGGAAAGAGACAAGTCTTCATTTGTGCTGCTCTGATGGGAGGGGCCACGTACAGAGACGCTGGAGACGCTGCTGTGATAAACACCACAGAAAATTACCAATATATTAATAGAAAATATAATTAAAATATTTTAGTAGAAAATCACCCAAGGGCCACATTAAAGGTCTTGGAGGGTCGGATCTGGCCCCCGGGCCTTATGTTTGACACCTGTGATTTAGATGGTGATGGCGTTTTTTGGGGCTTAAAAACACAAAAACTCTGAAACCATCCTCCAGAGTGGAAAAGTTGAATATGCTCTGCCGTAGTGTTTCTGTCTACACTGCCCAAGACGCAAAACTCTGGTCAGATCTGCTCACGTCGCGTACACGTGCCTGACATGCATCAAACTCCACACACTTTCGCGTCACTGTATGCACTCAGATTTCCTCCTGAAAACGCTCATTTCAATGCAGAATTCAAAGTGAAGACGCGACGCCACTTTTGCGTCTTCTGTTCAGACCGTCATCACATAAACATAGCCTCAATTTCATGACTTTTCCAGGATTTCCATGACTGCGGGAACAGTGATTCTTTTATGTGTCTGAATCAGTACAGATGTATAAATGGGAATAATGGCGTATTTAAAAACATTTAGCTCCCAGGCTATTTCTAGATAAATATACACAATGTTTAATCACAGTGAAATATAAACATTCAAATGTAATCGTGTTCGTTTGTCTGAGGCGTCTGCGCTTCGATTCAGTCCATTCACTCAGTCCTGTGTGATGTGTGTATGATGTTATTCAAGACTGTAGCACATTTGGTCTTTGGTTTGCTTTATCACTGATATTCAAATGAACTTTCTCTGTGGTTTAACTTTAGCAGAATGAAGTGTTTCTCAAACTGTGGGACATGTACGCTGGTGGTACAAGAGCTCTTTCAGGTGGTGGGTTGGTCTAATTTAGAGTTCATTTTATCCACTATTTGTAATTAACCCTGCGTTCGATTGTCCTTCTGAATCGGTTTATCGAGGACGTTGCCTAGCGACACACGTGACACGCCCCTTTTTTTGGGACGGTGCAACTCAGACCTCGGGGGTGGGAAAAGTACACCGAGCAAGGATTCCGAATCAGAATCCAAGATGGCTGAGCCCAATGTGACGTGTAAATATGAAGTGTTTCGTTGTGTTTAGACACTTTGGTGGTTTAAATCAGTGGTCCCCAACCTTTTTCCACCACAGACCGGTTTTATATCTGACAATATTTCACGGACCAGAGGGGGTGGGGTGGGGGGGGTGGTGGGGGAGGAGGCACGGTGCGTAGTCTGTGCAGCATGGTTAAGTCCTGGCTAAATCCTGTTTTAGTCCTGGTTTTAGTCCTGGTTTTAGACCTGGTTTTAGACCTGGTTTTAGACCGGTTTTAGACCTGTTTTAGACCTGTTGTAGACCCGGTTTTAGACCTGTTTAAGACTTGGTTTAGACCTGATTTAGACCTGCTTTAGACCCTGTTTTAGACCTGCTTTAGACCTTGTTTTAGACCTGTTTTAGACCTGTTTTAGACCCGGTTTTAGACCTGTTTTAGACTTGGTTTAAACCTGATTTAGACCTGTTTTAGACCCTGGTTTAGACCTGTTTTAAACTCAGTTTAGACCTGATTTAGTCCTGGTTTAGACCTGGTTTAGACTTAGTTTAGACGTGATTTAGTCCTGGTTTAGACCTGGTTTATACCTGTTTTAAACCCTGTTTTATACCTGTTTAAGACTCATTTTAGACCTGGTTTAGACCTGGTTTTAGACCTGTTTTAGACCTGGTTTAGTCCTGGTTTTAGACGTGGTTTAGACCTCGTTTTAGATCTGTTTCAAACCTGGATTTAGACCTGTTTTAGACTTGATTTAGACCTTTTTTTAGTCCTGGTTTTAGTCCTGGTGTATGGGATGGGGGTAGTCGATGTTGTGATGAGGCCAATATTGAACAAATACTTGATTTAACGGGCGTTAATGTCCCCAAGGTTGTAACAGAATAGATCATAATAGAAACTTAATAATACGCTTTAAGCTCAGATGTGACGTCAAATCCGAGGTCCGAGTGGGAGTCGGAAGAAAATCGAACGCAGAGTAATTTCTGGTTTGATTTAGATCTGGTGGTACTCTGAAATCTAAATCTTTGAGGGTACTGAGTGAAAAGAGTAAGAGGAATCTGATGAGACTATTCTATTTTTTTTTTTCAGTCTAATTGTAGGTGAGGGTGTGGTGGGCGTGGACTGACCTTTGCACTGCAGGCCCTGCCTCATGAGCCCCCACAGCAGAGAGCCGCAGTGGTCACAGAACGTGGGCACCTTGTAGTTATGAATGCTGAACTTATGAGGCATGTTTACGCTGAACCGCTGTGATCCCACCTGCAGGGGGCGACACACAGTCACAAAACACACTCTGTGCACCAGGCATTATGTCACAGGGCACAGAAGAGAGGGACAGAGAGGAGAGAGGGGACAGAGAGGGCACAGAGGAGGGGAAGAGAGAGGGATGGATGGGAGGAGAGTGGAGAGAAAGGGATGGGAAAGTGGAAAGAGAGAGGGGGACAAGAGAGGAAGAGAGAAAGGGTGGGAAAGAAAGAAGACAGAGGGTGAGAGCGGACAGAGAGGAGGAGAGAGACAGGAGAAAGGGATGGGAGAATGGAGAGAGAGGGATGGGATGGGGGGAGAAAGGGAGAGGAGAGAAAGGGAGAGACAAGAGAGAGAAAGAAAAATGGAGGGAAAGAAAGAAGAAAGAGGGTGAGAGGGGACAGAGAGGGCAGAGAGGAGGAGAAGAGAGATGGATGGAAGGAGAGTGGGATGGGACAGTGGAGAGAGAGAACGGGAGGAAGAGGAGTGAGGAAGGGAGAGAGAGAGAGATGGGAGAATGGAGAGACAGGGATGGGAGAGTGGGGAGAGAGAGTGGGCAAGAGAGGGAGAGAGAAAGGGAGGGAGAAAGGGAGAGATGAGCGAGGGGAAGACAGGAGACAGAAAGAAAAAGATGGAGGGAGAGGAGAGAGCGGGAAAGAGAGAAGGAAGAGCGTGAGGGAACAGAAAGGCCAGGGAGGAAGGGGAGAGAGATGGATGGGAGGAGAGTGGAGAGAGGAAAAGGGCGGGAGAAAGGGAGAGGAGCAAAAGAGAGACGAGAGAGGGGGAGACAGGAGAGAGAAAGAAAAATGGAGGGGAAAAAAGAACGAGGGTGAGAGGGGATGATGAAGAGATGAGAGAGACAGGGAGGAAGAGGAGAGAGGAAGGGTGGGAAAGAAAGTAGAAAGAGGGTGAGGAGAGAGGGAGGGACAGCAGAGAGGGATGGGAAAGTGGATGGGGAGGCGAGAGAAAGGGAGAGAAGAGAAAGGGGGAGACAGGAGAGAGAAAGAAAAATGGAGGGAAAAAAGAAGAAGGAGGGTGAGAGGGGATGATGAAGAGATGAGAGAGACAGGGAGGAAGAGGAGAGAGGAAGGGTGGGAGGGAGAAGAAAGAGGGTGAGAGGGAATGATGAAGGCAGAGAGGAAGGAAAGAGAGATGGATGGGAGGAGAGAGGGATGGGAGAGTGGAGAGAGAAAGGAGGGGAGAAAAGGAGAGGAGCGAAAGGGACAGCCAAGAGAGGGGGATACAGGAGAGAGAAAGAAAATTGGAGGGAGAGAAAGAAGAAAGAGGGTGAGAGGGGACAGAGAGGGCAGAGAGGAGGAGAAGAGAGATGGATGGGAGAAATGTGAAGAGAGAGGGACGACAGAGAGGGAAAGAGGGAGAGAAAGGGAGAGATGAGCGAGGGAGAGACAGGAGAGAGAAAGAAAAATGGGAGGAGAGAAAGAAGAAAGAGGGTGAGAGGGGACAGAGAGGACAGAGAGAAGGAGAAAAGGGATGGATGGGAGGAGAGAGGGATGAGAGAGTGGAGAAAGAGGGACAGCAGAGTGGAGAGAGAGAAAGGGCGGGAGAAAGGGAGAGATGAGAGAGGAGAAGACAGGAGAGAGAAAGAAAAATGGAGGGAGAGAAAGAAAACAAAGGGTGAGAGAGGATAGAGAGGACAGGAGAGAGGGATGGGAGAGTGGAGAGAGGGGGAGAGAGGGAAAGGGCGGGAGAAAAAGAGAGGAGAGAAAGGGAGGGAAGAGAGATGGGGAGACATGAGAGAGAAAAATGGAGGGAAAGAAAGAAGAAAGAGGGTAACAGAGAGGAGAGGAGAGGAAAGACGGAGAGAGGGAAGAAAGAGGAGAGGGACAGAGAGGCCAGAGAGGAGGAGAAAAGTGATGGATGGGAGGAGAGTGGAGAGAGAAGGGGCAAGAGGGAGAGAGGTAAAGGGCGGGAGAAAGGGAGAGGAGAGAGGGAGGGACAGGAGAGAGAAAGAAAAATGGAGGGAGAGAAAGAAGAAAGAGGGTGAGAGAGAGGACAGAGAGGAGAGAGGGATGAGGGGCAGAAAACAATGAGAGGATACAAAAAAAGAATGAAACAATAAGAGAATAAAAGAGATTACAGAGTTGGAGAGGAGAAAGGGAAAGGGAGAAAGGTGGAGAAGGAAGAGAGAGTTGAGTAATAGAGAGAATAGAAAGAGAGAGAGGAGGAGGAGGAGGGGGAGGAGAGACGTTACCTCCTCCGGTGTATCTTCCTGTTTCTTCATTCCAGCACATTTGGTGATGATGAGCTCATGACAGCGCTTATGGACCACACAGGTGCACACTGCAGAAACACACAGTTTAAGTCACAAAATATATCAACAAAAACAGATTTTACTACAAAATATGAATAAAAGATAGATAGATAATATAAATAATATAGATAATATATATATATATTTTGTACATTAAGTCAGTTTGTAATTAATTTAAATACAAACTAAAAGATAAAACTTGCCTAAAATCAATATTAATTGTGCTCTGTAGTTTAGTCCTGGTTTAGTCCTGGTTTGGTTCTGGTCTTGTCTTGAAGCATCAAAATGAGGACTAAATACTTAACTAACCCAGAATTAGACCAGGACTAGACAAGGACTAAACCAGGACTAAACCAGGACTAAAACAGGACTAAACCAGGACTAAATCAGGACTAAACCAGGACTAGACCAAAACAAGACCAGGACTAAACCAGGACTAAACCAGGACTAAAACAGGACTAGACCAGGACTAAACCAAGACTAAACCAGGACTAAACCAGGACTAAGCCAGGACTAGACCAGGACTAAAACAGGACTAAACCAGGACTAAACCATGACTAAACCAGGACTAAACTAGGACTAGACCAGGACTAAACCAGGACTAGACCAGAACAAGACCAGGACAAAACCAGGACAAAACCAGGACTAGACCAGGACTAGACCAGACTAGAACAGGACTAACAAACAGGACTAAACCACAACTAACCAGGACTAGACCAGGACCAAAACAGGACTAGACAAGACTAAACCACGACTAAACCAGGACAAAACCATGACTAAACCAGGACTAAACCAGGACTAGACCAGGACTAAAACCAGGACTAAACCAGGACTAAAACCAGGACAAAACCAGGACAAAACCTAGGACTAGACCAGGACTAAACCAGACTAGAACAGGACTAAACCAGAACTAAAACAGGACTAGACCAGGACTAAACCTCGACTAAACCACAACTAACTAGACCAGGACCAAAACAGGACTAGACAAGAACTAAACCACGACTAAACCAGGACAAATCCAGGGCAAAACTAGAACTAGACCAGAACTAGACCAGGACTAGACCAGGACTAAACCAAGTCTACAATGGGACTAAACCAGGACATAACCTAGTTCATGAATTAGTCCTGGTTTAGATGTAGTTGTAGACCATCCGTGAACCAGATATTGTAATTAAGCCCTTGTTTTATTCTAATATTTTTATATTCTTATAATGTTTCTGTATTCATTTACACACACACACACATATTTTTTTTCTTAGAGAGACTCACCCTGACACTGGTATCCCTGCTTCCCCAAGACGCCCCTGAAAAAAAACGATACAAGTTAGTTAAAAAAAATGTGTAGCCATAATCACCACAATTAGATATAATAAAATAAAAAAATTAATAAAACTGTTACAATATTTTTTCTAAAATCTTTTTTCTTTCTTTGAGCTCATCAGGTTTGCAGTAGCAGAACTGAAATGAGTCCGCCACCTGCTTGTAGACGCTATTACTTTTTCCTGGAATTTTCTACAGTATGGCATTAAATTAATTCAACTATCTCCATGGAAACAAACAGGCCACACCAACAGGCCAAGTTACAGGTCAGATCTGTGGAGAAGAATGGTCGTTTTGAGAAAATAAAAACATGCAAATGAATAAATACAAGATAAATTTAATGCCGTACGGTTGAACATCCCAGACAAAACAATAACATCACCATGGAGACAAACAGATGGAAAAGTGACACAAAATGTACACACCTTTAAGTGAAAGTACTATTACACCAGGCCTGAATATCCCAATATATCTCATTAATCTCAATAATTAATATGAATTTCAGATGATATGTTATGATATAATATGTTAACAATGCATAAGAAATGTGCTAAAAGATTCCTGTAAAAGTCTTGGTCGAGATTCAAATCAATCATTCAATAAAAAAAAAATTAAATAAAAAATCAATTAAAAAAAAAAATAAATAAATAAATAAATAACAATCTTTTAAAAATCATAAAAAAAAAATCATTAAAAAATCTATTTAAAAAATCATTCAAATCTAGCTCAAAATAAAAATGTATGATTAAATTTGCCATGTAAATTCACACTTCTGAGGGAGATTGCACTTGATGTTTCTGTCTCTTTTTGAGTTTTTTTTTTTTTTAACAGCTTTAATTATAGATGTACTATAGTTATGGACTGACGTAAAAGTGAAATGTAGAAATGGTTGGTTAATATATAATGTAGAAGATGAAGTGAGCTCATGAGTGACATTGTCTGTGTGTGTGTGTGTGTGAATGTGTGTGAATGTGTGTGTGTGTGTGTGTGTGAATGTGTGCGTGCGCGGGTCAGACACTGGACAGTGCTCTTATTGTTGACTGAATGTAATTTTACATTTATTTCTGTAAATCAGTGACTGCAGATGGAAACTAGCTCTTCAGCTCTAATCTAATGTGGAACGTTTCTATTTTTATGATCTTAACGTCTCTGCACATTGTCCCTTCAAATAAAGACTCAGCTAAACTAGATTATACACTTGATATTCTAATTTTGCATCTACATTTTCCTGTGTGCTGTATTTCCGAGTCCGACCACGATTCTTGTGAGTTTTAAGTCACGTTATAATGTTGTTATTTAATCAAAAACAAACCTGGAGTTGTGTTTTGTTTCATTCACACATGTTTGAGTCACTTTTTTATCATTAGTCTGTCTACATCTCCACAGCTCAAAATGCTTTGTTCCACCTTGTGATGTCATGAAAATTTCAATTTCAGTTTCAGTTCCTTTATTGTCATTGTCATATAAAATCACAATGAAATTACGTTAGAGCATCACCCCAACTGGACAGTAAATTAAAAATGCATAATAGTGTAGAGCACCCACCCCATAACACCCACTACATAAACATTAGCATACAGTACTAGTAACAATATCAGTGCAGGCACAAAGTACGGTAAACACTAAATAGTAAACAGTCTTAGAGGCAGCAAAGGGGAATATCAACAAATAAAATCAAAAGAACTGGGACATCAAGGACAAGGGGGCGTCCAGTCAGATTAAGGAGAGAGGGGGGTGGGGCACTGTACAGCAGCGGTAGTTTTCAAGTTAACAGCTCCTTCTACTTTTAGTTCAGTAAAGATTGGCAATTTCAGGTCTGAAATTATCTAAATGATTCCAGTCAAGGTGTATGAAGTTTAAAAACACAGTGAAGCACTTCCAGTTTTACCACATGACATCACAAGGTGGACCAGAGTGTTTTCTGTTTGAGAGAAGAGCTCTAAATATGACAGATTTTCATGTTAAACGTGTGTGAATGAAACAAAACAAACTAAAATTTAGCATATAATACATTTTTCATTACTGTATTTTTCAGACTATAAGTCGCACTTTTTCATGGTTTGGGTGTTTCCTGAGATTTATATGGGGTGACTTATATATTAAACTTTTCACACTGAAGCTGACAGAGGGTGCTATAGTCTTGTGTGTCAGTATCTGCTACTCCTGTTCCTCCTGTACCACTGTCACTTCACTCTACTGTGCATGTCTCCTGCAGAAAGAGACACCGTCCTGTCTGTATCATGTCAGTCGATCGCAACATTACTTCTGTACCACTGAAAATTGTGACTTCAGTGACACCGAAACCATCCTGTTGGGATTCAGAAAAGCCGGAATAATTCTAACTGGAACTGATGCTGAGTCTGATGCATGGATCTATTAAAATAACAAGGAAATGATGAAAATATTGACGACAACTACACAGAAAAGGAAGCGGCGCTCTGTTTACCTCTGGAGGTCGTGGAGTTGCTCAGAAGTGACATCAAGGATGAAGAATTCAATGGATTTTGTGATTTAGAGTGAGATGGAGAGTTTGGTAAACTTGTTCTGTTCTGTTGTTTATGTTATAATCTGAAGAACTGTTCATATGTGACATTTACAGTAGGGTGACCATATTTCCGTTAGTGAAAACCTGGACACCTTACTGGGGGTGGGGCATCGGCATTGAGCTACTCTCTCCTCGCAACCTGTGCACATGGCCTCTCAAAATTTCTTGTACAAGTCACTGCTAAATATGCATTTGTGCTTCGGCATGTTGCAGATTGACCGACTGTTTGTGTCTGCTCGCTCCTTCTGAATGCACAGAGAAGCTACGAGAGCCGCTCAATTTAATGGCCCCAATGAACGGTAATGAAAACCCGGACATTTCCATCACTTAAAACAAAAACAAAAAAACGGATGACCTGGACAGGACGCAAAAAACTGACATGTCAGGGGAAAAACGGACGCTTGGTCACCCTAGTTAACAGTCTGTTGTTCTCTCTTCTATTGTTTTTACTATAACTTGCCTTTCAAGATGAAATGTCAGCTCCTGGTCTCTGATTTTATAAAATAAATTTCCCCCAAAAAGCGCCACTTATATATGTTTTTCTTCTTCATTATGCATTTTGGCCGGTATGACTCATACTCCAGAGCGACTTATAGTCCGAAAAATACGACATATCTCCCATCTCTACTCTGTGACCTCCATTACAACTGTCCAATCAAATAAAAGCCTAAAAAAATCTAATTAAACAAATAGTTATTGTCCTGACCAGATGAAGTCCCTGCAGTGGGAGCAGTAGGTCGGTTGGCGCAGGTACGTTGCCATAAACTTGTGCCCGTTGACCTGGTGCACCCGCCTCCGCACTGCCCCCTGGCGTCTGCGCGGGCCAATGCGCTCTCGAAACACACGCTCCTCATTGTCATTGGTCCCCGAGGCTGAAGGAAGACAAAAGATTTATTAGCAATTAAAGATGAGAAGAGACACAATTTCCACAACATGAGACGAGACTGAGTCCACGAGAGCGAGACAAGACGAGATTTTAACATAATTCTACTTATTTTTATTTTATTTAATATTTTATCTTGAACCATCACTATTAGTAAAACAAAAACATAATATTTCAAAGTCAAAATCACAGTACTGCAGTATTCTGAAGCCGATTTTAGATAACATCAGCCTGAATTAGAAGTAGTAGAAGTATTTGTAGTATTTTTTTTGTAGTAGTACTTGTAGTTTGGGCACAATTGGAGATGCAGCGATAAGACTAGGCCGAGTGGTTGTAGCGTCAACGTCAAGTAGTAGCAGTTTTAGCTCTGTCTCTGGGGGTGTTCTACATGTATCTCTATGGTGGAATGTTCAGAAATGACCATGGAGACACAACGCACATGTTAGAAACTGCACTGCCAACAACGTGTGTCTGAAGACTCAAAGAAAAAAAAGACAAAATGGATTTAAGCAACACATTTTCAGAAGCTTGCGATCAATACGAGCGTTCATGGTCGTGTTTAGAAGGTGTGAGTAACCGAAAAAGTCTTGTTTAACAGCACAAATCTGTTCAGCTGTTGTAGTTCCAGCTAAGTCAGTGCTTTCTGGTCAGATTGTGTGAAAATAAAGCTAAAATTAAAGTTTAATTTGAGTAACAGAGCTTCAGACAGAGTGGTACATTCAGTTAGCACCACATCCCCAGGGAATGTGGATAATATCAGCTGCAAAGTGTCAAATTTTCAACATTGTAAACCTATACTCTATTCATATTTTGAATCCTGTTTGAATGTTATTATGCAAAAAAAAATAAAAACACAAATAAATGAGACACAATATGATCATCATCTAAGGATGTGCAATTAATCGAATTTTGAAAGTTTATTTTGGGATATTTTTATGTAAATAAGTGTGTTTATTTTGTTATTTACATATAGAGATTGTAGAACAGCTGGATATATAGTTTATTTTGGATACATTTATGTTTTTCTATGCCTTATATCAGGTTCAAATTTTATCCATTTTATCTTTTATATGTCGCAAAACTGCTCTAAGGTTCATATTTGTAGCCTATATTTAGTTTTGATTTGAAAGTTTTGTGTAAATTATCAATAACAAAGTGTTTTTTTTGAGAGAAAAATGCTGAATAAATGCATCGTGTAACTAAAAAAATAATCATTTGGATAATCATGATTTCAATATTGACCAAAATAATCGTGATAATGATTTTTTCCATAATCGAGCAGCTCTACCATAAACTATATCAAGCAGAAGTATGAGACAGAATATAAACTACTATTACTTTGTGTTAAAAATTATACTGTACTGTATTAATCACAATCAAATCCCAAATTGAATGGACGCAATCAGCAAATCACAAAGGCTGCAGTTTTTGGAGTACTATAATTTCCTCCACAAACAACAAAATATCTTGTTTTATTCTGCATAAAAACGGCAAACCCTGTGGTTTACAGTTCTGTACAAATGTTGACTTATATTAGACCCTTACATTAGTATTAGTTTGACAGTTTATGTTCCTATTTCAGTCTTGTTTTCAATTCTCTTTTTGCCAATCACAAATCTGTGGTCTAATATCACAATGAGACATCTTTATTAACCCTAAAAGAGTCTTGACATTTTTGCTTCGTGACAACACAAATATTGGGCATTTTATTTTGTTAGTATTGCCTAAATAGTTATAAAATGGTCTTGATCAAAACAAAAACTAGTGTAAGACTTAATAGAAATAGAGATGTAACAATAGCTGAAATATTGTTATATCTTATCGTCAAAACTCTCACAATAACATTATGGGCCAAGTCTTCCTGTTTGTATTTTTTATGTCTTTCTTTGTGATTTTAATGTCTTTTTCAGTCTGTAAAGCACTTTGAATTACTTTGGTATAAATTGTGCTATTCAAATAAACTTGTCTTGCCTATATAGCAATATAAAAAACTACATAGACCATGATCCTTTGGTGTTGTCAGTGCACTACATGGAGAAATAACTGTTATTAAGTACTTTTAAATCTTAATTCTTCATGTTATAACAGTACCAAGGCTTTTCCAAGGCTTTTAAAAGGAAAAAATAGTATGTTCATAATTTTGTTAGCCTCCACAAAATGTCAAATGGTGAGATGCATATCGTTAAAATATCATATTGAGGGATTTTGAAATCCAGTGAGGTTCTTTTGGTCTTCAGATAATTTATGTTATTAGGGTTTTTTTTCAGACCAAGAGTTTGTTTTCATACCTGACAGTTTCGATTGCTCTCTAGCGGACTTCCTCAGACTGGTCTCAGGTTCTGGAGCTGTCCAACTTCCTCAGGACAGTATCTCAGATGTGTGAGAGTAAAAAAAAGCCCCCTCATCCCAGTTTATAGTAGAAAGCCAGCACCAAAACGTGAATAAATCATCTGACCAGACATGTCATAGCAACATCACGTGAGGAAGACCACTAGTGAACAATCAAAACTGTCAGGTATGAAAACAAACGCTTGGTCTGAAAAAAGAACCTAATAACATGGATTTTGATATTGTTACATCCCTACATAGAAATACAAAAAAGGTACAACGATTCTATTATTTTCTATTGTTTGAAAAGTTTTTATTATCATTGTGGTATCAAAAAGGTGTCAAGTGTCAAGCCTTTGCCTTAGTATCAACAACGAATTTGAATATCATGACAACACAAGGACAAAAATCATCGTCGAAACTTACTTCTTTTACCTAAATAGTCTGATATAGATGAAAAATGAAATCATGTGAAAATCAAAAGTCAAAAATATCGAAAATCAGATACTAATCCATACTAAAACTTAGCGTCAATCATCAGCTTTTACTTTTTTAATTAACCAATCGCTGCTATTTGGTTGTGATGTATGTAATGCGCCACTAACGGGACTAACTGGTATATTAAGCTTTTCCCAGATCCCTTAGGAAGAAGGACAATAACGTCCTTCCCCTTGATAAAATTCACCAAACATTCTCAATGTCAGGAATCGCTGACAACACAGAATATATGGCTCTTTGCTGATTGGCTGGTGCACAAACTCGCACTTCATGGGGTTTTTGCGAACCGTCTAGTGTATTCTGATTCCTGACCTAGTCGTTGGAGAGAAATAAAATTGAGCACAGGCACTAGGTGGCACCAGCCTGACTAAGCTAAACTAGTATCGTCCAATGAGATTCATTTGGTCTTCCAATATTCTATGTTATTAGGTTCTTTTTTTCAGACCTAGAGTGTTACATACCTGACAGTTTCGACTGCTCACTAGCATCTTCCTCAGAGTGGTCACGTGATGTTGCTGTGACGTGTCCAGTCAGCTGATTTAAACAGGTTTTGGCGCCTGGGATACTGTCCTGAGGAAGTCGGACTACGGATGGCGCTGTCGTCCTGCCTCCACCGGTAGGAAGACAGCGCCAAAACCTGTTTAAATCAGCTGACTGGACACGTCACAGCAACATCACGTGACTCTGAGGAAGACGCTAGTGAGCAGTCGAAACTGTCAGGTATGAAATAACACTCTAGGTCTGAAAAAAAGAACCTAATAACATAAACTAGTATCGATACTGAAAAAGTCACATCAACAGAACAGAAATGAGCCTTAGAATGATCTTGAGCTGTGTCAGAACAAGTAAAAAAGCAAATAAAATATATATATGCCCATAGACAACTATGGAACATAAATAAATATAAAACCACATGGTAATATAAAAGAAAATACTGTGATTTAATGTTGGAAATCACCTATTATTATCTAAATAAAGAGTGTTTTTATTTACATTGTGGTATCGGAATCAGTATCGACTATCAAATCTATTCCTTAGTATTGAAATGTTAATAACTACAAGGTAATCATCTCATCATTTCTTATTTATATAGTCTAATATAGATGAAAAACTACAAATAAGACAAATAAGACAAGATAAATAATCCTAATATAATATTGTACAGCTAATTCCTTCTCTATGGGTAAATCCAGTGCTGTATCTCGGTCATTTCTTCCACAAAACAGCAGATTTCATGACGGCTGAAGTATAGGCCGAGCAGTAGCATATACGAGGGGTTATTTATACTTGTGAGTGGGCTCTAAACACAGTCGGCCATATTCAAAACCTCCTCCTCTTCCTCACGAGGAGAAGAAGAAGACGAAGAATTCACCGCGGAGACCAAGAGAACCACCTCCACACACCCCCGCGCACTTCCAGTCTGCATTAGCCCGTCCTGCCTCCTCTCTCCTCCTCCTCTTACTCTCTCTGTAATTTCATTTCTATCACTCCTTCGCTCCTTTCCTTTTCCACCCCCCCATGTTCTCTTTATAAACGTCCTATATTACACAAAATGGATTCTTGTGGGATTTAAGACATGTTATAATGTTGTTACCTCGTCAAAAACAGACCTGGACTTGTGTTTTGTTTCATTCACACACGTTTCAGGATTTATTAAACATCTCCAGAGCTCAAAATACTCTGTTCCACCTTGTGATGTCATGAAGCGGTAGTTTGGAAATCAGCTGGAAGGTCCCCCAAGCTGGAAAGTCCCCCTGAACTGTCCCCTTTATGAAACTAAATTAGTTAATCTATATACATATAAATAAAAAACAACACTTGTTTTCATTATATATATATTGTATTAATTACACATGCAAGTTACAACACATTTCTTCAAAAAAGTAATTTAAAATAGGATTTCATAGTAAACTTCTGTGAGCAAATGAGGATTATATTGATATTACAGACTAAAAAAATGTGTGCCACTTCTGGAGGATCGATAAAATGACATAACCAAGGCCCGACATTTGGTCTCGCTACATTCACAGTTCATTTTATTAAGATATAGAAGCTGATTTTCGGACTCAATAAATCACAGCGAGAACGTCCTCCCTCTACCGGGCACATCGGTTGGGCTGCCCGAGAGAAGAGGGCGCCCGGAGGAAGGAGGGGGACGTTCAC